GCATTTTTTTTTTTTTTTTTTCTTTTTAGGCATGAAATACATACGCGCTCTTTGCAGTCGCTCTTTATTCTCACGCATCACGGTACGATAGAATTTGGTAATAGCGTTTTTTTAACAATCGAAAAATATTGAAATCGACGAATCACTCGGCACGCTCGATCCTCGTGATCCGTTTCTCATTTTATATTTTATGTATATATATGTATAATAAATATATATACTTATTAATATGTAAGAACTTGACTAGATCACTTTAGTTTTTTTATTGACTCCCTTATTTAAGTCTAGGTACTTGCTCGTGCGACGACGGAGAGTATGAAGTTACAAGATTCTTCTTCTTTTCTTCTTTTTTATAAAAAAATATTCAGGAGAATGAACTAGAATACGATTAACGCGGCTTGTCTGGTTGCTTCTGGTTCCCAAAAAGTTTTTGAGAACGGTGAGAGCTAACGAGAGGCTTGATCCCAATTCCAGTTGTAATTAACGATAGGAGCGGATTCTATGAACGCAGCAGCACCTCGGGTTCGTGAGAATTTTGCCAGATTATCCGTCGATCGGCCATCACACGTAGCATTCGGTTTTAGGGCCCAACTCGTACTCCATTTCCTCGTTGTTGTACATATCCATTACCTGGAGAATATTGTTTTCAAATAAATTTGTATATTTGTAAATAATTGTAAATTAATTGGCATCGATTATTCTTTCAAATAATAAAAATCATTGCATTCTAAAGGATTTTCTTGTGAATTCTTTATTTCTAATCTTGATAAGTGAATATGAAATTGGCTTTAACAGAGAAAAACGTTCTGTTCGATTCTAGAAAAATTTAAAAATTACCGCATTCATGTCTTTTTGCAATTCCTCCAATTGCTTCTCGTGGATTACTTTCAACTTCTCCTTCTCCCTGTTCTGAATCATTTGTGCGATTCTCCTCTCCTCCATGAATTTTTTCGTATTGTTCTGCTGCTTCTCCCTAAGCCGGCCCTCCTTTATCCCCCGAGTCTTCAAAGTTTTATCGTTCATCACCTCCCTCGTGCTCTCCACAGACAGCCTCGCCTGCCTCGCGTTCATTTCTTTGATCTCGCGCTCGTGCCGCGCCGTCAGCTGTTTCTGCTGAGCCAACTGAGCAGCCACACACAATTTTCTCAGAGTGTTCCTCCGCTCCTCCAAATGTGAACGTATCAGGTCACGTTCCTCTCGACGTTGCCTATCCGCCAATCGGGACCATTGAACCGTTTGCTCGGAAACTTCTCGACGAACGATCGGATCTCTCGACAGCTCTGCTTTGCTATCGAATCGAGAAACAAAAAAAAAAAAAATTTAACGGAGGAAAATTCGCGTTAAAAGAAACTTTTTCCGCTACTCTATGTCGTAAACTGTCCAATAATTATCCCTTTCTTTTATTTCTTCCACTTTAAAGAGAAAGAAACATTAACAAACCACTTCTGTTGTCCAATAATTACCGACTTTTTCATGGTTAAAACGATGTTAGGTCGTGGAATATTGAAGAAAAGAAGAAAGTATGGAAGTAATCAGTGAGGCTTTCTGACTTCGTTTAAAGCGAAACATCGGAGATCTATATATATATAAAAGTAGGATATATATTTAGCACGTGTATCCGTTTGGTAACGAGAACAGACAGAAGCAGAGTCAAAAATCAAGGAAAAAGTTTCCTCGTTGCATCAGTTTAAAAAAAAAAAAAGAAAAGAAATAAATCACGTACTTTTTCCCTTTGATAATCTTCTCTATCGCTGTGCAATGTTGTTTCTGGACGGTAAGTTTCTCCTTCTGATGCCTCTTCTTCAAAGATTCCAAATCCTTCTGCTGCTTTCTCAACACTTTCTGATACCCCTTCTCTTGCCTCAACGATTCAGCCGTTATCGGATTGAATTTCATTTCCTCTAAAGAAAAAGAAAAAAAAGAAAATCCTCATAAATCCAATTCTACTCGATTGAACTGAAGGCAATTACCTCGAGGTTTAGGCGCTTCGCGATGATGGGCGGGCGCGGAATCACAGTGCCCTTTGCTGTCGCTCTCCTCTATCCCAAGCCCACGCATCTTATTCTGAGACGCGTTCTCCGACTTCTTGTAGGCCCGTGGCGCCGTGAGCGCGTCCATAAGCCCTGTTTAATCCCAATGCGATTGAAAACATCGAGCAATCGAGATATCGCAATCGAGACGCTTACCCTCGTACCCGTCCGGCACGTAAATCTTGATCTCTATGTTGCAGAACAGCATGGGCAAGGACATGGGGAAGTTCGCCTCTGTTCTCAGGGATATGTGCCTGTATCCCGACTGTAGACCGTCCAAGGGGACGATTCTCTGGCCCAACAGCTTCCCGTTCGACTCGTCGTAAACGGCGAATCTGAGGGCGGCCAGGTCCGGCAGCACGACTTTTCGAAACAGGAATGGCTCCTCGTTGTAAACGGGATTCAGGCCGTTCGCTGGAACCACCCTGGTCCGAAATTCTTTCCTAATCGTGTCCGTCGGTAGACCGTACATTTCCACCTCCACGTAAGTGCCGACCTTCTTGTCGGATAAAAATTGGCCAGCGATCACCTAGCGAATCAACAAAGGCCAAAAAAATTCTCTCAAAGTCGATCTCTACGAGTTTCACGAGTTTCTTAACCTAAGCCTTTCGCTATGGTTTCGCCAATTTCATTAGTCGTTAGACAGACTAGCTGAGCGCAAGTTTCGTCTTAATTGTTGAAAGTTAATTTAATCATTATAGATTATTATAGTATAACAATAATAATATGGTATAATAATGTAATAATAGTAATATAGGAATATAATTGTGTAGGGTTTATAATTAATATTTAATTTAATTTATAATTGTTATAATTGATAATAAATTAACTTTAAGAATTAATATATAGAATTAATTATTTTGTGAAATTTTATGAAATTTTGTGAACTGAACTGATTAATGATGGAATTAAATGAATCAGATAAGTAATTAAATTATAAAATCATGATATTAGTAATTAGTGTTATGTATCTTATCGAATATCTTTTCATAGTATTTTCTTTTCTTCATATTTCATTTTAAAAATTTGTTCATAAATATCAGATTTATTCCCGGTATTAAAATTATGATGCAGTTATATCAAATCATGCAACAGCATGAAAGCAGGATATTTGATGAAAAATTTGATTTTTTGGAAAGTACATTGTTAAATAATTTTGTATTTTTTTAAACGTTTACAGATTGAACAAAATATGTATATGCAGAGTATGTATAGGTAAAGAACTAATCGATAACTGATCGGTCATATTTCAATATTCTGTTAATTTATTAAGAAGCTTATTTTAAAGATTTCAATTTTATAACGGATATGACGTCTCGAAACATCTATTTTAATTTAAATCGTTATAAATTGTGTACAAAAATATAGATATTGAGTGCAGTCTTCAGATTTTCGATGCCAAGTCTTTCGCCTCAAAAAAATAATTGTAATGCTTTTAGGAATGTTAATAATTTTTATAACAGTGTACTTATAACTTTTCTATGAAAGTATTCAACTAAATATTAAAATTAATGAAATTTTTACATTGCACAACGCATAGCAATTATAATGATAACATAATATTGAGCAATAAAACTTTTTAAATACAAAAATTGTGACTATGATTTCGAATAAAGTTACGTGATCAAGTTGTGATAAGTTTATCTAAAAAAGTTAATTGCTTACGTTCTACAATTCTTTGAATTACATTCGAGTAACTTTATTCTTCCCTTAAATTTTTCCCCTAAAAAAAAGAACTATCGATTTTGGATAATTCTCGATACAAAGTTAAAGAAGGCACACGTTCTTCACGAGAAACACGTAGATCGTTCGATTTGCAGAAATGCAGAGCTCTTTCTATGAATCAAAAAATGAGAGAATAATTTGGAGATTACCTGAACGCTGCATTGGGTGGCGATTACACCGTCCACAGGGCTCTCCGCGAATGGGTCGAAGCTTCGATCGGCACGTCTCATGAAGTCAGGTTTGAGTAGGTAGCCGGAGGAACCGTTGTACTCGAACTTGCCCTGATTCAGTTGCATGGGCAGGTCCGCGGTTTGGAAATTCAACGACACCATTTGACAACCAGCGTTCCAGAAGACCTGTTTTCAATCGATCGATCGGTTTTGGACGAGGATTTTAAGATATCGGGGAAATTACCTGTGGCATGTAATTCGATGAATCCGCTCTGGTGCCTTTCGGATAAATCCGGCTCATTTGCCGCTTGTTGTAATTGACGAACTCGATCGCTTGGGTCTTCAAGTAATTGAGGCCAGCGGTTTCCGCGAAGGAAGACATATTGTGATGAATATTCTTTTCTGTACAAGAGGGCACTA